ATTTCCATTGATTACAAATTTGGAAACTATTATTTACCTCAAAAGTTATATATCATGTTGTATTTTTCCTGATAAAAACTAGTTGTTTTATATATTCATCTTCAGATTATATGGAATTATTAGTCTTATATGTTTTAGATGATTGAATGATACCCATAAACTTCTGATCTTAAGACCACATACTTTGCTTGTAAGATTCAACAATGATAATTTATAACGATGAATAAAATAGTTTCTTTCGACAATTCCAAGCAATATAATTTTTCATGTTCAGTGATAAGTTTGAATCAGCAACAAAAAAGCTACCATGTGGAATTATGATCGAAGAAGAGACAATGAATTGACAATGGGAAAACATGGTCTTCTTGACTTTTATACATGCTTTGTTAAAAAAATATTTTTTTTCACTTCACCAAGAACCATAAATTTTGAGGCTCATGTTTTGTACGCAGAAATCAGATAGCAATTCTTTCATTCTCTGTTATTCTTCTTATAGTATACTTTCTCTGATATAAAGTTTGTTTTTGCTTCTCAGTAGTTCTCTCATATAATACTTTTTTTGGAGTCTTAAAATAACACAAGGAATCTACAAGGAAAATTACGCAAAGGAGTTTGACACATACAGCATGAGACCCGACTAACTTAAGAGATTACAATGGAGTGGCTGACACCCTTTGATATGCACGTAGGAGTTTGACACATACGGCATGAGACCTGACTAACTTAATAGATTACAATGGAGTAGCTGACACCCTTTGACATGCACGTTACACCCTTTGACATGCAAGTTTTCTGACACGGCATGAGACCTGACTAACTTGAGAGATTAGAACGGAATGGCTGACACCCTTTGACATGTAAGTTTTCTGACGTTACTCCAATGCCTATATAAAGCTATAATGATATGAACATGTGTCTCTCACTACATATTTATCCATGTATCATTGTCTAAATATCTCTTATAAAGCTGCCAGTCCAATGATAACCCATGTACAAATGTGGTTTCAACCAACATCAAAATGCAAGTTTTCAATGGCATGGATAACGTTCATATAGATGGGTGGTTTTGTTCTAAATAGAACGCCTTACATGTGAGTTTACACTTCAGTAAAACTATTTGTCTCCTGTGGTGAAAAAACTTGTGCATATAATGTGTTTTTTCCACCTCTAATCTTGAGTAAACAGTTGTTTTTTATTCTTCTTCTAGCTCGACTAAACTTATTTGATGGTTACCAAGGGTTATTTGTTTTTAGTCGTTTACACATGAAATTGTCTATGAATTCTATGGAATTCTTAGATTTCTTCCTCTTGAAATGGTGGGTAGAATGATAATGTTTATTAGTTAGATTTCTTCATATTGAAATTAGCTCATTAAACCTCATGTATTATTGATTATGTAAATATTTTGTTTAATTCTTTTTATTGGGTGAGTGTGTTTTCATGAACAATTGTTAATCAAATACAATGGTATTTTGTAAACCCCACAAACTAGTCTAGTACTAAAAGTTTCTCCAATGATTTTTTGGAATTAAAAGTATGTCAAATGTGCAATTGGAGTTTTTTTTTTGCCGTTGGCAAATAACCTGGCTAGAAATTACATGAGATCTCAAATGACCCAATTTCAGAGTTATTAGAATGCTTATGTGGCTTTGTCTAATTAGTGTGGCTGGATTTAGATGGTGTGGCACATAAAATTGTAATTTCTTGACTTTTCATGTGATTTTGAAGATGAAGATGTAGATGATTAGTAGGATGGTTATCAATATTTAATTGAATGAAAACATAGTTTTTTGTTGTAAATGTGTTTAAAACTGACAGCTTTCTCCAAATTTTCATCGCAGCAAAGACAAATGCTTAAGTACAGAATGAACGTACTTTTACTATCAAAATTTCGCATGGAGAAACTTTTAATATCAAACTGGTTAAGAGGTGTCTCAAAAAATATTTGACAAATTTACTTTTAACATTTATCATTATGTGATCAAATCATTTAATAGAACTTTGTTTACTGATTGCTATATAGAGTTTTGAATATACTCTTGTCCCCCGAGTGATGTGGCGAGGTAATTTTTAGTTTACATTGTATAATATATGTTTCTTATGTGCCAGAATTGGTTACTTGGACACTTCATCTAGACTCCCGAGAGTCTCCCGTATATGTGTCTGACACTTCCCGCATCCATGTCCATCACTCCTTGAACAATTCCTGAACACTTCTTGAATATACATATACATTTGCACAAATGTGTACTCAATTATAGAATACATGTTTTAGTTTTAAAAACCTCGTGAGATACTTATTGGGCATATATCGTACACTTCATCTCAAATTTTTGCAACTCATTAAACTCAGGATGGGTTTGTTTTAACACATACCTAGTTCATACGTATGATTTTAAAGTGTTCTAATATCTAGTTCAAAACAAGTGGTTTTTCAATTTATAATATAGTCAATAAAAGAAACATAAAAATGTTATAAGAATTTTAATTCCCATAATATGTGAATGGAAAACAATACCGATCTCATATAGATTATTAAATTTAATATGTATGTATATAACTGTATCCTCTTATCCTATATTTTGCAAATTTCCCCGTCTTGTATCCACACTCATGTTCGCGCCGCACTCACACTCGCGTTCGTACAACATAGGTGACAGTAGTATAAAGGTTTCCCTCGAATTTAATTATTATTTGTTAGCGTATTACATGTTTGAAGAAAAATAGTAAGATATTAGGATTCTCCATATTATAGAAGGAATCTAGAACTAGTTTCTAGATTAGCGGGTAAAACTAAACATATTAATTTATTAATCCATATTATGTGGGTTATTAGCCAAACCTAACTTTCTAAACTTAAACCTATTTTTCAATACATATTAGTCAATGGCGGAGCCGAGGGCGAGGTTGGCCATGGCCCTCTAGCTGTTTACAAACAATTTTGGGATATATGCTTTTTCATATTAGTCCCACAGATCTTTCATAGTTGAAATTAGCCCCTAAAGCTTTCATATTTGAAATTAATACCCCCAACCCATGCCCCTTCTTTTTACAAACAAATTAAATATATAAGTTTTTACATATTAGGCCCCAAAATCTTTCCTATTTGAAATTATCCACAAAGCTTTCATATTTGAAATTAAACCTCCAAATCTTTCATATTTGAAATTAGTCCTCTAAGCCCCAAATCTTCATATTTTACAATTCGTCCCCCAATAACTATTTGAAATTACCATTGTTACAATTACCATCCAAATTGTTAACCATTCTTGGATAGTGGTTAATCAGGAATAGGTAATTACCAAATCAACCAAAAACTACATCAAAACTCACCAAAGTCAATGTCAAAATCAGTAGTTTTTAAGTCTCAGTTGATATGGTATAAATGCCATTACACTCAAAATTTTTAAAGATGACGAAATATTCTCTGAATTTCAACCAGCCTCTATATAGAGGGACTACTTTTAAATGACTTACAAGATTAAGGGAATAATATGGAACAAAATGCTATATACACCCACATCATCTTTCATGTAGTTCTCATTGCATTCTAAGTATAACAGAGAAATTGGGTTTCAATTTCCATTCACTTTTGCATTTAATACTAGAATTTGATATGGGGTTTATATTCTCATGTAGTCTTACAGTTTTTTGATAGAGTTGTGAAAGGTGATTCTATTAATTTCATAAAGTTTTATATTATGAAATAGATATGTGAAGTGGATTTTCTACGTTCATGTACTTTTGCATTTGTTTTATAAATGTGAAAGTTAAAATTATTTCATTTCTTCTTGTTATTGTTTGAAATAAGTTTAATGGAATAATTTATAGTTTATTGTTAAATTGCCATGCCTTCAAAATGATTACAAATTTTCTTTTGTGATTATATTATGGAAAAACTAACTACAATCGATACTTTTCTTTAAAAACGAGACTTTAGAAGATGGAAGTATTTCTTTAATCTGCAAAGGGTATACATGTGGAAATGATTTATTTTAAGTAGTCACAAAATTTTTTTTGTAAAGCTTCTATTTTTCATTCTTCTTTCACCTACGTACGTGTGAAAGTTAATTATTGTATACATTGGCATATTCAATTGCTTTTTTATCGATGCACAACATAATGGTTGCGTTTTGGCCCTCCTGAATAAACATTCTAGCTCCGCCATTGCATATTAGTCCTTTGCATGACCTTGATCAATTGATTCACTTGAAGAGAATACACAGGTCATATCCACTCCAACCAAACCTAATACTTAACCTGGTGTAATTCCAAGAATTGACAGACCCTTTTATTTTATGGTCTAATTATGATGTATTTTTGCTCACACCCAATGATCCAAATGCAATGTCATTCTCACATGTGCACCACATAACCTCCCTTTCAATTAGCCAACATATTATTTCACTTGTTCGTCATGATTCATTTTCCCTATCACCCGCCGTATAATGAGAATATTTGCATCATATAATCTAACATCATAACCAGGATCATCAACACTCAAAAGCATGTCCAGTCAGTAAAGCAAACAAGCACGCCCTTTAACAAAGTAGTACATCTTCGGACATCGAAACATAATAACAGCAAGTTAATCAACGTGAATATCAAATGTAGCATCATATAATCTAACATCATAACCAGGATCATCAACACTCAAAAGCATGTCCAGTCAGTAAAGCAAACAAGCACGCCCTTTAACAAAGTAGTACATCTTCGGACATCGAAACATAATAACAGCAAGTTAATCAACGTGAATATCAAATGTAGCATCATATAATCTAACATCATAACCAGGATCATCAACACTCAAAAGCATGTCCAGTCAGTAAAGCAAACAAGCACGCCCTTTAACAAAGTAGTACATCTTCGGACATCGAAACATAATAACAGCAAGTTAATCAACGTGAATATCAAATGTAGCATCCAAGAATCAAAATTCAACAATACACTACAGATTTATTAAAAGGGAAGAAATTTCGGCTCAAAACCCGAATGCTTACACGAAGAAATATGCGGTGACCATAAGCCCAACAGAAAGCATGAGGACAGCGAGGGTAGGGTACCAAGCATCAGGAACGGGACTCGATATCGGTTTCGGTGCCTGATCCAATTTAAACACAGAGATCTCTTGAAAACCATAAAGATCAAAAACAACTAACAATCTTCATCGTTTAAACCCCAGAGATCTCAAGATGTAGGGATATGATATAATAAAACTAAATAGAAAAAAAAATTATATAAAATGAGATCAGATCTAGGGTTTTGGATCGTATAAATTACCATTGATGATGAAGGAAGACGAAACCTTCGAGCCTCTAATCTTTTCCCTACCGATTTCAACTTTGAGCGTGGGTGCTTTGTTCGCAGGGTAATTAGGGGCTTTGAAAATGAGGGAGTTGTACCCGGTATGGTGTGCCTGCGGTTGACTATAACTATGGGGCAGTAAATGGGCTGGGCTTTGTCCACTTATGGGCTGGGCCTAGTACAAAGCAATTGTTATAAACCTAGTGTACCGTTCAGAGAACATGCATCTCTTGGACTATCAAAAAGAGGCTAAATATCATGAAACCCCTCTTAACTTTGGACGGTTATCAGAAAAAAACCCTTAACTTTCCAAATATCAAACGAACCCCTTTAGTTTTAGGGGTTATCAGAAAACCCCCCTTTAACTTTGAGATTTTATCAAAAACCCCATGTAACTTTGAGATTTTATTGTGGAGGTTTTCCGATAAAATCTCAAAGTTAAAGGAGGTTTTATGATAAAATCTAAAAGTTAAAAGGGAGTTTTGTGATAATACCTACACTTAAGTGAGGGTTTTTCTAATATTTCAGAAGTTAAAGGAATTTTCTGATAATCGTCCAAAGTTAAGGGTGCTTTTTGATATTTATGCAAAAAAACATGCATCTCCCAAAAAGGGGGTTTCCCATAAACTACCTTTTAAATAGGAGTTTTTTTTTTTTTTTGAAGCCACCATAGAATAGGGTCAATACACAACAACCATTTTTTTCATTTTTAATTTACATGTAAACCACTTTTAAAGTGAGTTTTTGTTCTAATCAACCACCTCATAGTCAAATTTTTACCAAAAAACAAAAGCAACCTTAAAAATGAACGTTAAAGAGAAATGATTTATATCCTAACTAGGCCATTCTTAGGTTTTCAGTGAAAACTTTACCTAAAATGTGATTGATCAGAATAAAAACTCACTTTAATGATGCTTTCATATAAATTGAAAATGCAAAGCGATTTCTATATACTAATCCTATTTTTAAGATGGTTTCTAGGAAGAAAAAAATGCCCTTAGAATAGAGTCATTTTATAGAAATCACTTTTAGTTTTCAATTTATTCATGAACTACCTTTAAATAATTTTTTATTGCATTCAACTACTTGGACTTACTTTTAAATCAAGTTTTTTCAGTTTTATTATGATAAATAGCTGTTGAATACCAACTATGTTAGAGAAATGTTCCTTAATAGAGGTTATGTGCAATCATTTACAGAAAAAATTAACTGAAAAACGAACCTAGGCTGTTGATTGCTAAAAAAAATTCTTTTAAATATGGTTTATGTATAAATTGAAAATCAAAGATTGTTTCTATAGGAAAATCCTAGTTTGAAGGTGGTTTCCTAGAGAAAAAAACCCCACCTCAATAAACAATTTAACTATGGAGGTAAATTTCCTAAGCTACCTTTACATGATTTTGTATTGCAATCACATTAGATTTTTCAATTTATTCATAAACTATCTACTTGGACTCACTTTTAAATCAAGGTTTTTTCAGTTTTACTATAATAATCAATTGTCGAATAGCAAGTGTATTAGAGAAATGGTCATTAATGGAGATTGTGCGGGATCAATTACATAAAAAATAAACTAAAAAGTGGACCTACACGGTTGACTGCTACAAAAGTCTTTTAAAGACGATTTATGTATAAGTTGAAAATTAAATTGTATTTCTATTGGAAGATCCTACTATGAATGTGGTTTTTTTTTGTGGGGTAGGTGGGGGGGGGGGGGT